CCCCAAAACCCCAAAACCCCAAAACCCCAGGAGGAAAATTCTATTGAATTTGAGTAATTGTGAGATAATTTATATAGTTGATTTATTATTCAAGCTTTAGATTTTTTCTTATTGGTGCTTTTATCAGATATACTCTTAACTTGCTATCCCTCATCTTTTCCTTTATCTGAAGTTTTAGCACTACTTTTCCTTTTTTATTTTTTGCCAGTTTTATCTGTTTTCTTAGACTTGCTTGATTCTTTAGGACTTTCTTCAACTAAAGTTTTAGAGTTTTTATTGGCACCAAGTAGGTTGATCTTTTAACTGTCTTCTAGAGGGTTGTTATTCCCAATTTATGATTCCTCTTCAATAATTTGACGAATCTCATTTAGAATCATGTCTGATTCCTCTTTTTTAATCTTTTATGTGCTATGCAAATTGTTATTATTGCTCTCTGTTCCTTGTCTACTCTAGCTCATGCCTGGCTAATCAAAATCATTTTGAAGAATTTGATCTGCATCAATCATCTGCTGAGATCTATCATCAACTAAATCACCGGTGTGAGATCCTCTATAACTCTTTGGTTTTTTCTAGTTGACAGGTTGGGGTATATGTTGCATAATATCTACAAAATTCATCATTTCTCTTTAATTCTTTTGCTTCTAAATCACAACTTCTTGTTTAAGGGCTCTAATACCCTCAAAAGCATCAGTTTATTGGAAAGCTTTGGTCGATTCAATTTCAGTCTTGTCATAAAATATGGTGTATTCCTCTTCATCATCATCTTCCTCTCCATCGTCTTCATCCTAGCTATCATCTTATTCACCTTCAATCGTTGGCAAGTCCTCTTTTTATTCGAAATTAATTTTGGGTGACATATCTTCCTCAGTTACTTTCGGGCCACTTGTATCTTTTCTGTCTATTGGCTCTCCTCCATTTAACTCCTAGAATAGATACTGCTCATTCACACTCTTTCTAAATATAAATTGAATAGTTACTTTGATCTTACTCTAAAATTTATTCGGTAAGCACTATCCCTCCTTCCATTCCCTAAGGCAGATTTCTGTAGCCTTGTTTTTATAGTTGCTGTCCTTTCTCATTATCAATCAAGATATAGTTATTGTAGATGTTGTAGTTGTAATCTTCGAATCTCATAGCTCCTCTCTTAAAAGGATTCTATTTAAGTATCTCTTTTTTCTTGTTGATCTCTTCAATTTCTCTTTGGATTGTATTCTCCATTTCCCTCGAGTCGATCTCCTCAGATATTTGCTGCAACTGCTATTGCTACTTGAACTTAGGCACTTTGACGCATTTCTTCAGGAAGTGAGTGGTAAGAACCATAGTATCTGAGAATATTTTTCTATAGTCTTTGATCATTTTTATTCTCTCCAGATCCTTATCAATCAGGGCTTTATCTTAGGCAGTCCGTAAGTTAGGATCTCGAGGGCACTAGTCCATTTTATGTCCAAGATCTTTGCAGCACAGACACCTCAGATTTTTGAGTTGTCTAAGTTGGTCTTGAAGTTTGTCATCTGGGTCAACATCATCTTCATCGTCTTCCTTGCATTCGTGCTTTGAAAACTTGCAACCAAGATCATCCTTAGAGGTCTTACCACAACACCACCACATTTCCCCGCCCCAGTCGCTTTAATGGGTCCTACAACTCCAATTGTAATTCTCTTTTTCATTGTACTCTTTGCCGCACTTCTTGCAAATCTTTGAATCCTGATCAATCTTGAATCTCCTGTTTTTGAGTTTAAGGAATCTTTGTTTCATTTTATCTCTCTCCATGAGGAGCTATTTGTTGAATTTCTCGAGTTTATTCAGCTCTTCAATCAGCCTCTTGATTTCTTCGTTCTTAGTTTTTAGATCAGTTTCCATTTGATTCATTTTCTCCTTCATCGAAGTTGCAAATGTCTCCTTTTCCTTTAGTAAGATCTATCTACTTGCTGTCATTTCCTTCAAATTCAACTGTGCTTCATCTCTTTCACTAGTAGTTTTTCTCAGGTTGTCAAAGATATCTTACTTCTCAGACATTAAACTATTGTACTAACCCTGTATTCTATCTAGATTACCTTGATATCTATCCTCTTGCTTCTTGGTGTCTGCTAAGCATTGCACTGAGTTATACAGCAGTTTGAGCTGATCCTCAATAATTTCATACTTTACCTCGTTTAGCTATTTACTTGATGTTACTTCTTAAAGCTGGTATTTTTACTGATCGTTCATTAACAGCTAATCTCTTAATAAGTCTGCGTAATACTTTCTATAATAATCACTTATCTATGCAAAGCTAGTCAATGCATTTCCATTAGTGATTAGTTGGAAGCATTTTTATATTGACTCTGAAAGTACTTATTGCATTAGTTTAAGTTTCCGTTATAGACTGTGCAGTATTTCACCCCTTTTCAAATACTTTGAATTTAACTCATTCAATTCCTTTTGTTGCAATTCTTTCTGATAAAATGTTTCCTCTAGCTTTTCCTGAAGTCCATCAAATCTCTATTTTAACTCACCTAGTTATTCATTCAACTACTCACTTAGTTTCAGCTCGCCATAAACTGAATTCTTTACACCAATTGATGTCCCAGACACTCCTTTAGATCTAAGATTCATTTAGCTTCCAGAAGTCTTGGTTCTGTTATACTTCTTTTTAAGGTATTTTTTATGATCACTTTCGAACATTGGCAGAATAAAGTTCTTTACTATTTAGGCTGCTAGTTCTGGCGAGATATCCTCTATTGAAATTTGTTACGCTGCTGATTTAGGCATTATAGGTACGAAGTTAGATTAATTAGACAATCCTAAAGAAGTGGGACCCATTCCATTATCGTAATTAACTGGGCTTTTATTTTAGGAAGTAGGGCTAAGATTATTATCATTAATCAACGTATAATTGGTGGATTTTATCTCAGGAAAGAAAACTTATTAATGATTCTGACTATTCTATTCTTTCATCATGTATCTAGACTTAAGTGAAGGTTCAGCTGACATAAGTCTTTGATATTTCTTATTGTTATCTAGCACGCCCTATGAAATATTCATCGTATTCTGCTCTTTTATTCTTGATCCATTACCTCTGTGTTTAGGAACTATGGTCTCCGTCTGATTAAGATTACTACTCTTTTTGGCTGATTGATGTCTGAATGATTCTACTGAGTCTCTAACGAAATTGTTCTTTTAAGGAACCATTTTTTGGAATTCTTGTTATCTTTGAGTTTAAGCTTAGTTATTGAAATTAGATGCGTCTTAAAATTGCAGAGTCTGGAATCTTATCTCTGTTGGTCTAGTTCTCTAATCAGAGATGTTGATGAGACTTTGCTTAAAATTAGGCTAGGTATTTGATTAAAGCGAGGAGAGGCTATCCAATTAAGTTTTAACCTACTACTCGTAGAATTATTGATTTTACGTTTGCAATTTCAACGAAAGTTAAACGTTTTAATCCATTCCTATTATAATTAAAATGATAGTCATATTATATTAATAAATCAATGAGAAAATTTAAAGGTAATCGCAAATCACCTAATCTGTATTAGTTGAAGAAGAAAGGTCAAGTCAAGCAGCTACTTCTCGTATGTCTTTCTCTAAAAAGTATCCTGTCACAATGAAAATGAAGTTCCTCCATCTAATTGTACTTGCATCTCACTATTTTAAATTATTTGTAGATTTTTGATGCCTTAAACATCATATTCAGCGGAATAAATCATTATTATGTTGGAATAGGAATACACAGTGGTCTCGCTAGTCTACATGTGATCTTATTTGGACTTGATGTATTCCTACGAAAGAAAGGCTACAAGAAGTAAAAGAAGTACTCACAGAGGATATTTGTAAGCAAATCTCAGTATAGTAGATTCATTGACAAATCATTTTAGGATATTGTCTATTACATCTCAGCATATTTAATCATGATGAGCTTTCTGCTTTACTTTTGCTCTTATCTTAAATTTCCTTCAGATCTTACTAAGAGTTTTCCTACGTAATGTCTTGGCCAGTATTTCGCTGATAATGGACCTATTCAGACAGTGTGTAGAAGAATCACTAATGAGAATAATTTTCACTTCAATGCATCGGCTGATTATCCTATCGGCTTCTAAACGAATGATGAACTTACTCCGATAATCAAGGACTGGCTAGATAACCACTAACATAAATAATACTATATAAATTCAGAATAAAATAGCATTAAATTGACTGATGATCTGGATAAGCTTTAACTAACCTGTGAAAAATACCTTTTAATCTAGTTGGTGGATAATGTAGGTTTTATGCAAGACATAGCTATAGAAATATTAAAATACTAGCCGAATGATTAGAATGCAGTTAAATATCTCCAAGTACAGTCCTAACTGAGAATAGGTTTGAAAGACTATGGCAATAATGATAAAAACATTTAGTCCTTGCTTTCTTTCCTTAAGAAAAAGTATCCCAATAACTTTTTGACTGAATACCCCCAATAAAAGAGCACTGAAACAGCCATAAAGTAATCTCAATCTAAACTGATAAAAGAGTAACACTATTTATTTTATGAATAATAGCTATGAATTAATATGCTTATTGCAACCATTATATTTTAGTATCACGGGGTTTTGGGGTTTTGGGGTTTTGGGG